CCCCCACGCCCAGAGGGAGCAGCCCCCATGAGGCTCAGCACAGGGGTCTCCCTCGCCCGAGGGCATCCCCCGGCGTGCTGGCGAGATGTAGCCACCACCTCCCCTCCCACCACCGTACCCTGCCAGCGCCCTCCCTGAAAGCACGAGAGCACAGGCAGGAACAGTGACGCATGCCCCGAACACCGTCCTTCCACATCTTCGGTGTGACAGCAAATGCCTCTCCTTACTGGGAGTACTGCAGACCCCCAAGGGACCCCTCTGGTGCACTTGTACCTCCTGGTCCATGCAGGACCACCGAGGGAGGCGAGGACAGCGTGGGTCTCCAGCCGATCTCACCATCTGCACGTTGTAGATGTATTTGCTATCATCCCACAAGACCTTATCTCCCTCCATCCTGGCTGATGAGCGTCACCCGCTCTTGGGGATCCCCTCCACCGCCCTGCTGCTGTGATGACTGCTCTTCCTAAAGCTTGTTTTCCATCAGATGAGCAAAAGGAAGAGTATTTGTTATCTGTGCTGTCATGTTGACAGTATTTATAGGCTGTGATCATATCTGTGCTTGATTCTCCTCTCAGTTTCTCACCATGTGCCTTATCGGTTCTACTTATCATTTTAATGCACTTCTTGGTATTTTTCCTGGGGCTTCTTCAAGCACCATTCCTTACTTCTGACGATGCAAACATATTTCATAGCTACGCTAAATCTCAGCTTCACTGTTTACCTGCAATACCCCCCTTGTCAAACTCTGATCTTCTTATAACTCATCAGCTTACCCAACCAGGCTGGTGCTCAGACAAGAAACCTGCCTGGAAACCTTTGCAGAATTCAGTCATGGCAAGAGTTCAGCACGGATGAAAGCCTGAAACAGGGAAAACAAGACCCAGGCAGCAGGTTCCGGTGATCTCATTTTGAAATGAATTAAATCTGATCTCATTCTGAAATGCGGACTCCTTTGCTCCACGTCGTTTTGCTGCACACAACCATTTCATGTATTTCAACAATTACTGCAATTCACTTCAGATACCCCCTGCCCTGCTCTGACAGGTAAAATTATTTATGAATACATTGTGTGCAACCAGGTTCAAATCCCTGCGTGTAAGCAGTGGATGGTTTGCACCTACTCACTTCTCAGTAAGAGATTTAAAGCAGTTTTGAAACCTGCTTGCGTGCGAGTCCATTACCATGCTATGGACAGGACCCTCCGCTGAGGCAAACCACAGCAGGTCACCCCAGCAGCCGCTCTAGCCCCTTCCTTCGTCTCTTCTGGAGGGAACTGGGAAGGAAACTACTACTTCTGCTGTCTGCTGCCCCTCCGGCCTCATCACTCACGCGGTACGGAGGGAACACACTTGGACCAGGAGGGAATGCACTTGGCCCAGGGCTTTCCACCCTGGCAGACTCAGTTTGACATTAACTTTTATGTTTTATACATAAATCAGTGTGAATGGCTTTCTTAGCAACCGGATCAAATTTCACTCATTTACCGGAAACTATCACAAGATGTTCTCACTCACAACCTGGGGCGCTCTGCCTGTCGTGCAGCCTTATTTCTCCGCTGCTGAATGGGATCTCCTGATCCCCCAGAGCTCCCTGTCCTTCGGCTCAGCTCTCCTGCAGCCTCCAGGCTGGTGCCCCAGCACACCTGACCCCGCTCAACGTACACCTTCATCAAGGCTGTCAGTGGCTGTACCAAATAATGCTTGTTTCTTTGCACAAAATAACACAAACGTAGATCATACCTTCTCTAAAACCTGGACTAATGCTGTTCTTCAGCTGGTCTTACTGTTAACAACCATTCCCTGCTGAAAAACTAGCTTCTAAACCATGATATTTTTACTTAAATGGGAAGCAATATGTTTTCTTTATGTTTATGCATGGCACTATACCAATTGGCCTTCTGAAATCCAAGTGTACTATATTTAATTGCATAAGCTTTAGCTGTTCAATTAGTAACTATGGCAAAGGAGGCTACTGAATTGGCTGGCTTGACCTTCCCGGTTGCAATAGTTTTGACTCTAGTCATAACTAACCAGATGCTTTAGTAGTCTGGATTTCTTGTTCTCTGTGGATCCATGAAATGACTCACAAATGTCTCCTGGCCACTTCCAGCTCTGACTATGACTATAAGACTATGCACTTCACACATACCAGCATTTTTTAGTTAACTACAGGTCTATGACCTGTGATTTCTCTTTCCAACTTTACCCTAATTAGAGTTCACGCTTTGAAGGCTTTTGATAGCGTAACTGTTCCACTCCTGATACAATCTAAATCCCTGCTGTTGCCAGGAGGGATGGCCCCACTCTCTCCTCTCCTGCCTGTGTCC